AGAGGGGGGAAGGAGAAAGGAAAGAAGGAAGGGAGGGAGGGAGGGAGGGAGGGATCTAAATTCCTAGCAGACAGAAAACCCCCTCTTGGGATAAAAACAAGAGGATCCAACTGGTTCTCTGTTCACATCCTCTCCTGGAACAACATGGAGTGACTGTCCCTCTGAGCAAACTACGTGTGTGTATCTGGTGATACACACTCCCCGGGTTCTATCAGGAAAACAGCAACAGTTTCCTGAACCTTGGGAAGCAGCCTGTTCAAAAGGTGGAGACATAGCCAGGTCTTTGCTGTGAGTCCAGTTAAGAGACAAATCCAGGCAGCAGCATCTTCTTCAGATACTGGGACAGAGTAACTCCACTCCTCAGACTACAGCATGGTCCCCTTCCCGTCAGGCACTCTAACTACAGGAGGAAGACGTTGGGAAGGAAACTCAGAAGGAGAAACAGCATTGTTACCAGGAGTGTGTGTGTGTGTACAGTGTTCTGTGCCTTATGCCCTGAAGACAATGGAACATTTTCCCACAAAGATTGGCATGTGATACTGCCAACATGAACGTCAGCTGGTTGTTTGCTGCATAAATACCAATTACACCAGCCCTGTAACAGCGCCAATCTGCACAGCCAACTCTGAAAAGAGCACATCGCTCCAGACCTCTAACTTTCTCCTGCACTCCTTGATGCTTTTATCTGTTCCTTTCAAATTTAGAAGTTTTTGGAATTACTCAAGTCGTCATCATTTACAGCGGAAGCAGGGAAGGGCAGAACTAGCTAACAAACCAAATCGACCAAATCAAGCCCACATAGAACAATGCAACTGTGTTCTCAGCATCTTTTTCTTTATTCTGGGCGAATCCTCCCCCAGAGAGCCTCCCCTCCCTCGCTGTTCCTCCCGACTCCCTGATTTAAAGGCAAGGATTCTCTGTTTCTCTCTCAGGTAGTTGAATCTGAAATGAGAAAGTGACATTTAAACACCTTAATTCATTTTCCCCGATGGGTATGGCTTTTCTCTTCAAAATTATCAAACCACCTATTTTCAAAAAGCAGGCAATGAGCTTCACCCAGCTGGTTCAGTCTCCTCCAGCGATCTTCCAGGACATTGCTCACAAGCAAGTGACCGAGGGGAACTGAAGTGGTTTCTGTAGCCATTTGCAATTATTGACAAACAATTTCATAACGGAAAATGGAAATTACAGTCAAGTGCAATAAGCTGTTTATCCAAGATCTACCTGCTGGTGGCTCTTTTTCTCTTTTCTTTCAAGCAAAATACAAGCTATCATCGGAATGTAGTTCTCCGGTTTATGATTTTTCCTTGTCAGTATTTCCACCACCAAACCTGCTTTCCAACTCTGTTCGTTGGCAGGATTTGTATTGGACCCGGGTAAGTGGTGGAGACCGTAACATATTCTTGGGTATGGTGAGACTCCCACGCCGCCAGGGCGGTGGGAAAGGATCACCCCCAAATAGCAAACAGGCCAGTCCCACCCGCCACCCCGGGCGGGACGGGCTGCGAGGACTAGGTTTGGGTTTCTGTGGTTGTCGGGTGGGTCTATTTTCACCCCCGCATCCTGGGTGCGCAGGCACCCTCTGACCCCGGCTCTGCAGTTTGGGCCCCGGGGAAAACAATTCCATGAAGAGTGGGGGTGCCGCCTTGCGCACTTGGGTGACTCGCAGGTCCCTCTGTATTTCATTTGGACTAAAGGGACCTGTCAGAGGGGCCAACCCTCGCCCCTGGTGTTACATTTTCGCCAATTGTACGAACCTCGAGGGATCTCGGGTCTTGGCGGAGCGGATGGACTGGCTCTGAGCAGGCTCCGAAGGTTCCCTACCTCTACCTCCCTCTCAGCCCGCAGCCACTCACCGGGCCCGCTCCCCTCCTTCCCGCTGCACCTGCCTTCTTCTTCGAAGCCCCTCCGGGGTCTCGGGAGAAGTCCCGGGCGACTCCTGC